GAAGTTATACTGTAACAGCAAATATAAATAAGTGGTTTGACCAGTGAATTATTGTGGAGCGATACAAGTTATTCGAGTAAATTTTTGTGGCTCTAAAGAATTCTCTAGAGCTGAAATGATCTTTTGATTTGTTTAGATGGGAATGTCCGGATGCTCCGAATGTAACGGCGAGTATTGTCTGTACGGCGTGCGGTGCAGCCGGGCATATTGCGAAAGATTGCAAGAATCCACGTCCTGGTGGCACGGGAGCGTTTGGTTTGAATGCTGGAGATGGAGGAATGGATGATGAGGTTAGGATTATCGTTTTGAGACTGACTATTCACTGACTAACAAAACAAAAAACAAAAGGAAAATGCTTCTTGCAGTATTCGGCATTGATGGAAGAGCTTGGTGAGAAACAACCAGCGAAACCGTTCAGTGGGCATGGTGGTAAGCAAGGTGGTTTTCAACACGGTGGCTATAAGGTACGTTTGTTTGTTTGTTTGTTTCATTCTTCATCTGTTTGTGCACGCACAAATTCATAGCTCATTTTCAGTGACGTGCACTTTTCGGTTTCGACGCTTTCGAGTATTGAAAAGCGGAAAAAATTTTAGTACTTCTGTTAATGCCCATATACTGTTTCTTATGTTTTGATGAGGAAACTGTGAAAAAAAATAAAAATTTCAGCCGCGTTATTCGTTGCCAAGTGGTACTCCAATTGTACGAATCAATTTGACGAAACCGCAGCAGAATCAAGGACTAGGATATGGTAGTGTTATTCGCGTTTCTTTTTCTAGTTGCACCGATTTATTTTTCTTTATCCGGCTTTCCGAGATATACGTTAATCACTGTTGTCATTATTTATTTCGGTTCATTGTCGTTGCACATACATCACTGTTATCATAGCATTTCATGATATTCAGTGCCTAGACGTGATATTTTATGGAGATTCTTTGAATGACAAATAACAAGAATGACGGTTGCTAAAGAATGTTCAGGTGGTCCATCACAAGGCAGTTACGACACCGGAGCGGAGTACGGCATGAAGACCACCGAAACGGGACACTTCCTGCCACCAGCCGAATCGGGTCACTTCTTCAATCAGCCAACTCAGCGTAATCGCTATCGAGGAGGCGGTTGGGGAGGTGCTGGCGGTGTGCCCGCACCGAGCAGCAACAGTCGATACCCGATGCCGGTGCCGCCACCCCCTCCACCGATGGCACTCGGTCTGATGCCGCCCCCTCCACCGCCGCCAGCCCCAGCACCCAAAATGGATCTGTCGAGTTTACTGGCTCCACCAGCACCACCCCCACCACCACCTGCCTGAGCCTTTGATTCTCACTGACTGATTGCTGCTGCTGGCTGCTTCAGAAAAGAGACTAAAAATATTATTCCAATAAGTAAACTCACATTCAGTTTTTATTCAGTCTATGTTTATTGTTCTCAATTGATGAGTATTTTTGTGTTTGTTTGTTGGCTTTTCTTTGTTAATGTCCCAGCGGGTTCATTTGATATTCATACAAAAACATTATTATTCTGTTTGAGTATTGAGCAAAATTTTGATGATCGTAAGAATTTTTGGCTTTATTATCAAATGATTATTTGGGAGAGGATTCAATGATATTTATTGTATGTGTAATTGAATAGTTTCTCCGTGTTGAGTGAGTGAGTTTAGCTCGAAATTAATACACGAAATGGTTAAGATAGGTAATTTATAATTTCGTAGATTGATGAAGCTTGTGTTATTCATTCATTATTATCGTTGTATTCCCTGTTACTTTGTTCTCGTTTTTGATTTTGTTTTCTTTTTTTGATTGTGAGAGCTGATTTTGTAGTTAATGAAATAGTTTGGTGTTGTTAATGGCACTTTCGTCGATTATTGAATTGATAAGAAGTCAGGAGATTCATACGATGCTCATGCCTCAGTTTTAATCTTCTCTGTTCGAATTCGAATGAGTCTTTGCCTTTGAATTGTTCGAATGAGGCTAGAACTGCATCGAATGCATTTCAGTGTTCTCGAAATTAAATTATCCAGAGAGTTTGGTCAGTTATTTTCTCAAAAAAATGTTTCAGATAACATGATTATCGTTTTTAAGTTTATCGAATTGTGTTAGACGGTTCATTGATTGCGTTGTTTTGTGTTTTTATTGTTTGTTCAAAGAGCCGTTTTCGGCGAGTCTTATCGATATTGTTCGTTGTTTTGTTGTTCTCAAGATACTTCGTTTAATATTTCTTACGTTTTTGCTTATATAATTTAATGTTCCTCTTAAAACTTTTTTTGTTGTGAAATTATTTTAATTTTACGATGAGAATTATTTCACTATTCTAATAATATTGTCAAATTGATTCTTTTTTATTTGTCTCACATCTTGTTTTAATAAACTCTTTGTCTGTTTCACTCGCCATCTCCTTGCTTTTATTATCAAACTGACCTCAACGAACTTCTTTAGTAAGCATGATTTTGTATTGAATGAGAGAAGTGTAGCCACGATTTTGTTCTGCGTGGACGTAGTTGATTTGAGATGAGTGTGTATGCGCTCCGTATCGTCAGTGATTGTGAGTGTTTCGCAATCCGTGTCAAATACGGCATTACAGTAATCGAAGAAGTGGATGTGGTGATTGACTGAAGTGTTTTATGATTGGTTAGTGCACAGAGCACGATGTGACTACAGTAATCACAGAGCACTCACTGAATTTTGCTCAAATCAGTAGCGACTTGTCTATAAGGGACCCACTAACATACCATGCGATTCTCGGTTTGAATCGTATCGTACGGTGCGGAACGTGTCCTATCCCTCCAGAATGGAGTTTTTGAGTTTTAACTTTTCGAATGGGGACGGACGAAGGGGTTTCTAGAGCAGGCATTGGATTGAGATGGCGTGAACATTCCGGATCAAACGGTACTATAGTCGTGGTAAATTGGATACAACAAGGCAGATGACAAGTCAAGTTGAATCTTTCAGTGTTTTATCCGAGTCTTCCCGCATCATCAGACTGCTTACATTGAGACGCTTAAATGAAATTGTTCATAAAATTATTTTCATTAGCACATGGACAACAGTTGAACGGCCACGTTCTTAATGCGAAAATTTGTCAAAAAATGGAATTATTGCAATGAGAGTCATAAATTAGAACTTTGCATTGATGAAACATTTAGACAGTAAAGCAGTAATGATTTTATAGTATTTTGAAATCGTAGGATTCCTGCTGCTGGAAATATTTCACTTATGAATCAAACGAAAACGATAACTTGAAGTGACTAATTCAAGATGAGTTAAAATTTTCGAAAAGTAACACTCACTAAAAAACGCTAAAAAACGGACACTTGAAGTGACTAGACGAGGATTAAAATTGCGACGAGTTGACAAGCTTTTTTACGCTACAAAAAACTCGTTAAGTGTACATCTCAACGAACATTCATCGCGAACGGATGAATGGTCGTCACTAGCTTTGCTTCAGTGAACGTCAATTGAAGCACATCAAAAATCGAATTCATTATTCGTTTTTTAAAAGTACAAAGTACAACAAGCTAGACACATCGTTTGAATTAACGATGTGCTTAGCTTGTAGAACATCGAATTTCATTTCGAAAAAATTACTTTCGAATTCATTTCGAAGTGGTAGATCTCTTTTTTTTTCGGCTCTTCACTCTTCATGCACCATTTCATAACGATTCCACTCGAGTGTCATTGTCAATCATCTTCAACCCGTTCGCTGAACCTATCAAAGAATAACCCTCGAAAAAGCCACCCTCATTATCCACTCCACAGTGGATGTTCACTGAATTTGTTGTCATGTCTCATTCGCTTACCTAACTACTCGTATCGACAATGCATCAAAAAACTCACATCGCTCATTCAGTCTGGAAGGATTACTGCTTGTCACAATCGTCAAAAAAAACTTTCAGTGCGATTGAACGCCCGGAAAGTAGATTAAACAAACAAAATCATCGTTACATTCATTCAACCCTCTCTTTTCCCGAAAAAAAGAGCACAGAATTCAACCTCATTAATCGCGCTACAGACTAAAATTTTCATCGAATCGAAAAATGTGATTTACATATTCCATAGAATTTGTAACGCACATTTTTTTGCGACTGTGACTGCAAAAATGCAGACTTCCAGCCGAATAATATAATGTGCGACAAAAATTCAACGCGATGAACACTAAGGCTTTCAAAGCACTATAATCGC